AAAGTGACAAAACATAGCAAGTGTTAAAATATATTTATAGAAGATTTTAGTGTTTATGAATAAAAGGGAAGTGTTATACAACTATACAACAGTGTATTTTAAATACAGAATCGGGATTTAATGTGATGTAAAAGCCGTTACAGGTAAATAGTACCTACAAACGAGTACCTGCTTCTTTATTGCTGACGTTTCGACGTGGATTGCACCACGTCGTGGTCCCGACAGGACGTGGCAAAAAAACGAAATGTTGAGTCCCGATTGTGTATTTAAAATATGTGTAAAAAAGCGAAAGTTTAAAATTAAAATAGCGGTTGCCAACCGACTTGTCAAACGTGGCAACTATTGACAAAACTCCCCTTATGGGGCAGGTTTACGCAACAGTGGACAGTTAACGACTGAGATATTAAAAAAAACTATATATCATATCTCTGTGCAAAATATCAATATCAATAGGTATCATAAAAGATCTAGCTGCTTAATAATGTAAAGCTTTCAAACACAACTTAATGCTTAGATTTGTTTTTGAAATTATATATTTTTTTTTAAATATTTATTCCTTTTTTCGTAACAACTCGGGCCTACGTAAGTTCTTCAATTTAAGAGGATTTAACGTTTATATTGAAATTTCATTGCCATTTTGATGGAATAACTTTACAATCGGCATCATTAACAAAAGACGAGAATACGAAATGGTTTTTACTTTTTAACCAACAATATTGCTGCGGTTTTTGTTATGGAAATCGAAATACTTAGGTACACCAAAAATTATAGCTACGTACAGGTCGATGGAAGGATCGAGGGGAGAGCACCATGGCTCAATCATCGATGGAACGTATGAAATTCCACACACGATATAGGTACGTCGCTTTAATGTCTATCGTCTTTAATTTGAATTATTTAGGAACATAGAAAGCAGGTTAGGAATGTCAGCATGTATGAATGAACACTCTTTACTGTTCCTTTCAAAGACAGATAAGTATAAATCTATTTTAATAGAATATAATTAAAGTTAATCAATAACGAAAGAATCATTGGCCCGAACAGAAGACAGTCTGCTGATGTCGAGTAATTTCTAGCATAAATACAAAATTTATCGAATGTTTCTATTTGTTTTCAATTTTATTTACTTTTAATATTTTTGTAATTATTCAACAAAACAGACTATATACGAGATGAGGTATGTAATATTTGTATTTTATGCAACATTCATTTAAATTGGTACATGCTTATAATAAAATATAGTTAAAATTCAAACTTCCTCTTTTTTAAGGTTAGTTAATGGATTTATTAAATTTATTTTTTATAAGAAATAATTTAATAATTATAACATTACATTTTCAAACGCTTATTTATTTATTTATATTTTATTGTATACAAAAATCACATTGTTATATTTGATTTTGAATAATGATGTACAACAGGCGAGCTTAATTCTGTAAGATATTATATGCTTATAATATGATCACTTCCATTTCTTTAACTCCACGTTTCATATTATTCTGCAACTTGATATTTTATCTAAACAATGTGTTACAGTGTAATATATAAACCTGCTATCTAAAACGGACCAAGTATGAGTCAAAGTTTTGTATTAGAAAGAAGAAGCTGAAAATGCACTCAAGTGCGAGTTGGACTCGCGCGATGAGCGTTCCGTACAAAATTATCAAGATAAAATTTTCTTTTTTTTTTGTGAAATATCTACTAATTTGGGGTTTTCGGATTTTTACCTTTTACTTGTACTACAGGACATTGCTTCTTGCCAAATTTCATGTTTTTAGAGCAACGGTTTGACATAAAAATAGGTTTTGATTCCCTTTGCGAATGTCAAAATATGCAATAAATGGACATAAACGGTCGTATCTTTTGCAGGCGCCGATTTAGAAGCTTGATTTTTTCACTGCTTTCAGAAATTGCAGACCTGAGTATATGATATTAATTTCAAATTAATACCTCCACGCGTTCGTAAGAAAAAAGGTTTTGACAGAGGGACGGACAGACAACGAAGTGTTTCTATAAGGATCCCGTTTTTTTCTTTCGAAGATACGGAACCCTAAAAATTACAGTGTCATTGACATTACATTACAAAATTAATAAAATTAATATAGAATTAATAAAAATACGAAATCGGTTCATAATTAGTAAAATTTTATCCATATTTATACAGCAAAAATACAAAAGTTAATATATAACATATACTCGAAATATTTAAAAAACAGTTTTTTTTTTATCGGTTCATAATTAGTGAAAATTTTTTTTTAAATGGTAAACTTTTTATATGAATCGAATTCGAAAAGAACGGACAAGAAAATCAACTGTTATTTTTTCAAACAAAATTGAGTATACAAAAAAGAAGCGAAATACAATCACTATTACAAATTTCATATTTATAAAAAGCAATAGTAAATCATATCGAGTCAAATATTCTTCTATAAACCAGTTCCTACCAGAAGAGCCACTGTTCACGAGTATGACGGATTTTATATCAGTCAGTCGACATGTTTCGATTACCTGGACAAAGTCAGGGATAAAGACTAGTAGCTTTACAAACTCAACTGAAGAGCTTTTAACATCAAATTTTGCAGGGCTGCCCGATTAAATTTTCATTGAGCGTCATAGGAGGAGTAATTGGTAATTTCACGTACTGACATGGGATCGACAAATTGCCTGTTAAAACTTGGTGTAGACTCAAAATTGACGCGCCTTGGCCTGTACTGTACTGTGTTAATATTGTTAACACTAACGTAGTTAAAGGTATTCATGTTCTGTTATTTCAAGGGGTTTAAACACTAGAGATAGGAGTTCATCATCACATCGGCCATTAACTGTCCACTGCTGGACATAGGCCTCCCCGTTTTTTTTAATGGATGATAATGAAATGATAATCCCGCGTGCGCTATCGGTATACACTAGTGGGGCACCAGTGAGGGATGATTGGTGAGGATGAAAAGGCAAGGAAGTTAGGCCATCGTGACGAATACAACAATAAATAAGTCACGATATTTTCCAGGAAAAACCGTGTGGAAGTCGACCTGATAGGGTGTATTGATAGCAATGGGGACTAACCTCCTCATTACTAACAATCCCTTCCCCCAGGCTTTCCTGTTAGGAGTATTTTGGCAGTCGTTGTCACGCTTGGCAGGCGTGTTGACATTTGCATTTAGGCTTGTGGTGGTATTTTTATGAGAGACGCTACTGCCTATACCTCGACGATTAAATTCTCTTAGTCGCCTCTTACGACACCCACGGGAAAGGAAGGGGTGGCCCATTCTATGCTGGGACTGCACAGTGAGTAATAAGTGTATAATCCTGTAAAAAGAAATCACTTCAACCGTGAATACACCGATAAATGACGAGATGTTTTATAGATAGATATATACAATAAACTTGTAAGAGAAGATTGCCCTAAGAAGCCGTTTTGTAAAATTATTTGTAGGTTTTCACACTTAATCAATTTAGTCATCTCAGATGTAATGTTTGTTGGTTATTTCTTTTGCTATGGTACAGGAAAATACGAGTACTTCATTAACTATATCGTATTTTTTTTTATATAATTTCCATAATACGTGGAAACCATCTTACTATACCATGTTTGTTTACATAATGTAAAAAATAATTTCATTTTTCTCAACAATTCGTTATATATATATATTTTTTATGCAACTTAGAATGGCAAACAAGCTGACGGGCCACCTGATCGAAAGTGGTAACCGTCGCCTATAGACATGAGCAGTACCATGGACATAACAGAGTATACTGTTTCGCCCATGATATCCCCCGCCCCATGCGTCTGCCATGCCTTTCCTGAGGACTCAGATATTATTCCTCTCTACCCAGTAAATTCACTGCCATATTCCAGCCTTCAAACCGAAACTCAACCATGCAAACACTATTTTACGTAGAAACACGAATAGGACAGAGGTGTCCAAGAAAATGGCTTTTGTACAAAGTCTCCCTCTGGTTAAACTGTTTCTTCTATGAGATCATTTCTTTAGTTGCTTATCTTTATTTTTATATTCGGAAAATTATCGAAATAATTTAAGAAAAAAATATTCGTCTGTTATTCACCATTATTAGTGTATTGTAGGTGCTTGAAATTGTAGCTAAAAATTAAATATTTTCATTCAAGGTTCAAAATAATTCAGTAGACTGTAAAACTAGCTCTTGCTATATAATCTTCCGTTTCTCGGCCGATCCGTGTCTCATACATACCTAATTGGCTATTTAGCTAATTCATAGTACGTAAAATATCATACTATCTCTATCATTCCTATGGTAGTGTACAGAGACAAAGAACATATTGATAGAATTTACAATTTAAAAAATATATCGTTATTGGAATTGCTGAGCGCACACCTTTTTGCCTTCAATTATTAAAGCACGTGTAATTATTAAGGCTGTATCATGCAAAATGTATGAATTTAACTTCACAAACATTTATATTTTCATACATTTTTAAATTATCTAATATTAGACAAATAGATACCTATTGTAATTAAGATTACAGAAGATGGACTTAAGCTTTTGTGTTATTATCGAAATTTTTTTTGGGAAACATTAAGTTTTTAAATGTTTTTAATTTATTTAATAAAAATACTTGAAGGGATATTATGATAAATCCTCTTCTAGTTCCAGTGTTTCTTTCTATTTGTTTTATTATTTAATGTACATTCCAAATTTATTATGTTTAGTACGTATTTATAACTTTTGATAAATTTATATGCTTTTTATCATCATATAATTATTTGTTATAATGATAAATTAAAAATAATTTCATAACTTTAATAATTAACTTTTATTTTTAATTATTTTTTATTCTTTGTTTTCTCTAATATAATAGAAACACATTTATAGATTAATAATTTCAATTTCCTCAACTAAATATAATTAGACATTTCATAAGTTGCTTTAATGTATACTATCATCCATTTTGATAATTTATTTAAAAAGCCGTGAAAGCAGTATGAATTCACCCTACCCAAATCATTCACCAATGGTTTTCGCTAAAACAACGTCATGCTTTTACGAAAATTAATTTCGTTTACCAAAGGACTGGAAGATCCTGAACATCCTTTATTGGGTCCAAATTTAAGAGGACTTTATTGGTGTGGCTTTTGGCGGGACGCTAACAAAATTCGTAACATGTGTTCTGACGTTGCAATACTTTCTGCACAATTTTTCATTGTCAGCGAAATAATTGAGATATATTGTTTGAGAAATGATGTAAATAAGATGCTAAGTAATATATCGGTGACTATTTTAAGTATAATATCCGCATCAAAAGCTATAGACTTTGTTATCAATCAAAAGAAATGGAAAGAATTAGTAAACCTGATCTCAGCGCAAGAAATCTCAGATTTAATTGAAATGGACAACGATACACTTAGAGAAATGGCAAACTATAAAAAATATGCTAGAACAGTGACGTTCACATATTGGGTACTGGTTTTCATAACTAATCTCGGAATGATAGTAACACCACTCTTTAAATATGCATCTGCTATTTGTAATAAGGATATAGATAGTTCTGAACTGTATCCTGAAATAATCAACTCTTGGTTTCCATTTGATAAAACTAAAAGACCTGGATATATTATAGCGGGTGCTATACATATATTTATGTCTACTTACGGAGCCGCCACTGTTGGAGTTTGTGATATGTTTGCTATTACGATTCTGGCTTTTATCAAAGGTCAATTGATAATTTTAAGGAAGAGATGTATGAAAATTTTTGACCGTAATCGCTATTCGGAGGAAAAAATCTTGAAGACAATCAAAAATTGTCATTGGCGTCATGATAATTTATTAAGGTAACTACAACTAGTTGCCTATTTCATAAATTACAAGTAGAATAGATTAATCGCTTAATTTCTCTAAAGTAAATAATATAGATAGATATAAATAATAATTTTAATAATTATATATTTTAAGTATGTTATCACCTGTATGTTTTTTATTGTTTTGTTGGTATCAGTTTTGTTAATATGTGATTACATATTAACAAAACTGATACCAACCGATAAATAATAAATCGATGACTTAAGAAAATGTTGTATACATCTGTAATTGGTGTAAATGCAAGATGCAAGCCCTGTATATCAATTAAAATCAATGTCTGTATTTACACTGTTGATGTACCTTTTAAAAATAAATAAATAAATAAATGATGGGTGCTACACTACTTACACTATACTAAATATCAATTGTCTGAGCTCAATTGGATGTGTTATAAAAAATTCGATAACGAGTATATGGAGACAATCTTAAAATACCCAAACCCGTGCCAATTTTGAAAATTTTCGCTTCCTAAACGGGTTTTTGGTTCCTAAACGGGTCGAGAACCGCTATGTACTTATTATACTACGAGTACAAAGGTCTAATATTATAGTAATTATTGTTTTTCTTTTATATATTATTTTTAATTATTGAAACCATTTAAAAAAATCTTTCACTTATGAAATTAATATTCTATATTTAAAATGGAAACAAAAGATTGCAGATTAGCTAGGACAAAGCAACGAGAAATATATTTTTAAAGTTTATGTTTTATACATGTACCTCTTTCTAGCTTAATAATTTTCACCACGGTTATTTAGTCTCTTTTATTTAAAGGAGCATGGTAATTACATTTACCTATAGATCATATTGCATATACTAATTTATATGATTTTAGGATCTACAAATTATTCAATTCACTGTTGTCACCAGTCATGTACGTCTATGTATTGATTTGTTCAGTAATGATTTGCTGCAATGTGGTTCAATTCACGTCGGTAAGTGTCAATTTTAATTATAAGGATTAAGATAATTACAATTATGATAAAATTGTCATTTTATAGAAGCTTATTTGGTAAACATAGTCGTACATAAGCAAGATTTTATGAAGAACAAGTATATATGAATTAAATTTCAAAATAAAATTGTAATTTGGTCGCCACGTCGAGCTGTAAGATAGTGTTAATTTCCATTTTTATTAAATCGACGTAACCCAAAGGATAAGCAAGCTGAAATGACTATAGGCTGGTCACATACATAGCACAAAGTACCAACAACCGACGGGAAAGAAAGATTCTTCAGTAACGACCTCGTACAGACAAATGCAGTATAAGACGACTCCCTGAAAGATGGAGCAACGACCTCAAATACATTGCAGTCACATTACAGTGAGTCACTGGATGCAGGAGGCTTGGAATCGTTCCTTATGGCAACCTATAGGGGAGACCTATGTTCAGGAGTGGACAGATAATGGCTGATAGAATGATGATGAGGTTAAATCTTAAGGTTAAGAATGACGTTTTATTAGTACTGTAATATTATAATCAGTGTATTGCATTTTTTTTTCTTACTCAGAGCGACATAACAATATCTCAGAAGCTGTGGATTTTTCAATACACTTTTTATCTCGTCTCCCAATTGTTTTTATTTTGCTGGCACAGTAATGAAGTAATAATTGAAGTAAGTTAAATTTTCAGTACTTATGTCGTTTTAAACAGTTTTATTTGCATTTTTATAGGTAAGTAATAAAATATTTGTAACGTCTAAATTTTTGTGCTGATTGAAACGTAATCTTTAAGGGATTTTTTATTCTTAAAAGGGTATTATACCTGCAGGTCATTTTTCACAAAAGAAAAAAATATGTTGTGGTACGAGGTAGACTTTTATTCATTTAGCAAAACAACTTTACTTTTAACTTTGAATAGCAAAAAAGTATCATCGGCAATTAGTAGTGTGCAAAAATGTCTGCTATTTGTTTAAATTTATGATCGTATAATGATAAATCATTATTATAAGGTAATAAAAGCTTTTTAAAAAGATGTTCCCTACAGAGTAAAGACGTGGATCGAGGAGTATATACAAGTGATTGGTGGAAAAGTGATCTAAACATACGGAAGCAAATTCTACTGCTAGGTGGAAAATTAAAAAGTGAATTTATAATGAATGCTGGACCTTTCACTATATTATCAATACCTACCTTTATAGATGTAAGTTTTATTTTTAAAACGGTATTTTTTATTATTATTATTGTGATACGGACTTTTTTAGGCAGAAAATCTGTGACACTGCGACCTTTTAATGGTCTTTTGTGCTCGCCCTTTATTAAAGTTCGCTGCTAATTCCTACCAGTGATAGGAATTTTAAGATGCTCTTAATAGCGAGATAGATGTTTTCTATCACCTCAGGAAATAAGGAATATTTTCCAAAGGAGATGTATCGTTTATGTATGAGTAGGCTACAGCCACAAATTTAATATTGCAGCAAAAGTTTTGCTTCAAGAGTACATATAGGTACTAAAATTTTAAAATGGTAAAATCAAGATGTAATAGAAGTATTTTATATGTTAATATAGGATATGGTTTAACATATACTCTCTATGTTAATTCTGATATTTGAATCCTTGCAATCATTTGAGCATTTGAATGACAAATATATAACATTTTTAGAAACAGTCATATTTACTATATCAATAACATAGGCAGCAAATCGCAACTTTGCAACTTATGCTAAAAAGTATAGAAAAAATAAAAGATTCCAACATAAATATGCTTTTCTAATAATTTTGTATCTTTAATGCATTTTCACAAAATATAATGTACATGTATATACAATGTACAAATATACATTTCAACTGTAGTCAACTGACGAAGGAACATCTTCAAATATACCTACATTAAAGAGAGGAATTATTTACATAGGACCTTGGTCAAATTCAATAGCCCACGGGTCATCGAATTGTAAATAGAATGAGCTATATTCTTTTTAATCTAAAATGCCCCTTTTTTAATTTGGAGCTCATATAAATATACCTACCTATACTATCTACCCCTTCCTTTCCCATGGGTGTCGAAAGAGGCGTAATTTAATGGTAGAGGGATGAGCAGCAGTATCCATCTTGAAACATCACTAAAGACTAACTGCAGTTGCCAATCCGCCTGCCAAGCGTGGCAACTACTAACAAAACTCCCCAATAGAGGGATGCCTATGTTCAGCAGTGGACAGTTAACAGCGGATATGATGATAAATAATGCAAGGCAGTGTAAACAGAGAGTTTAGAACTTTAACAATTTTAATAAATTAATTAATACAATATCACTTCATTCGTAATGTTATCTATTTTCAACCGACCTCAAAAAAATATGGTGTTTTTTATGTTTGTTACCTCAAAACTCTGACAGTATATATATATATATATATATATATATATATATATATATATATATATATATATATATATTATTTTTATAAATTCAGCGAATCAAAGAAGATGTTATAATATTAATTTGCAATGATATAACACACTTTTTAATTATATATATATATATATATATATATATATATATATATATATATATATATATATATATATATCACATTTTACAGAAAATAAATTATTAAATGGAATTAGCAAAAAATTCTATACATAATAATATATAATAGATTTTTTTCTCTAAATACATAACATAGGTTACATAACAATAAACAATTTCATACTAACTTCATGGTTAAACACATCGTCTTAGTAGCTATTGGAAACTCAACATTTTGCGTTGTTTTGTATCCATGTTTGTCAGACACATAGAATACTCGCTTAAAAGTGATTGGTGATGTTCATTTCACTTGTATATTCATCTTTTAATATATCTTATAGTGTAGTCTCAGTCTCTTAGAGAGAATTTTTGTATTTGCTTCTATTATTCCATCCTTTCCCAAAGTGGGCGATAAAGCCCCCTTGTGGGCGCTGCAGACCTAAAGGGAGGTGGTAAGAGACCCAGAAAAAAATTATTAATTTACACAGTTTACACAATAATTGATTAATTTAATTTGAAGTAATAGTGGTTTTTAAGTAGGTGAAAAAAATGGGGGCGCTAAATAATAATTTATTCTCAAAGTGGACAATAGACAAAATAAGTTTGGTTGTTTATTCTGACACTAATAAGCAGTATACACCACTAAATAGGTTGTATATTAAAAAATGACATTTCGAAATCTAAATAACAAAAATAACGAGTTGTTATAACAAACTATTATTACACCCACACTACTAAATAATTGGGTGTTCAGTTTCTTTAGATAATAATATATCATTTTACATGACAGGCAAGGTTCTATATTACTTTTACAAACTAAATTATCCTTACTAATATTACAAATGTGACAGAGTGTTTGTTTATTTGTTACGTCCTGAGTCCTCAGGAATGGCAACGCATGAGGGGTATCGTGGGTGAAACAGTATACTCTGTTATGTCCATGGTACTGCTCATGTCTATAGGCGACGGTTACCACTTTCCATCAGGTGGCCCGTCAGCTTTTTTGCCATTCTAAGTTGTATAAAAAAAAAAAAAGTGTTGACATATAAAATTTAAAGCCGGCTCGACTAATTATCGTTAAATTTTACTATAAATTAAGATGAAGAAAGACATTAGCAAATTTTTATTTCCGTCAAATAATATAACCTGGTTAGAGTCCTCTTAAAGCTGTGTTAAAACTAGTTAACTTTAAAACCACTATAAAATTTAATGCTATATTATTTTAGTTATTTGATTATAATTATTTTGTTTAATTTCTTTACCTTTAGTGTGTAAGTGTGTAACTCCCAGTACTTGAATATTGACCACCGTTATTACTACCAGAAGTTCCTCAACCTTCTATATTGGCCAACAATCTCCGACTACCATTTTGTACGTGTACGTTTTGCGACACGTGTTTCACCTCTAAACGAGGCATTTTCAGGCAAATTATTAGATCGCTGCTTGGAATCTAGTGTTAATCGGTCAGCGCCCAAACTGAGAAAATGTGTTATTTTGTTTAATTTTAACAATGTAATATTTTTAGATTATTAAAAATAATATATGTTTAGAGAAATTAAAAGGCATAGATTTGTAAAACTGGTTTTATTTTTCATTATTAAACAGGTGCATGTAATAATGAAAGTATTTAGTAATAGACTAAATACTGGACTTTTGTTTTGAATTACATCATCATGATTATTTCAGATATCATCCGTCTATAGCTGAACATAGACTTCCCCCATAGACCGTCGTAAAGCACGACACTAAATGCGATATGTAACTCAAAATATAACTACAGATTTTCATAATTTTTGGATACACTCCTATTCTCAATAAATTGAACAGTACACAAAATAAAAAAAAATATCGATGAAGCCCCAAAGGAAAACGCTTGTACATCTAAAAATACTCATAAGAATGGCTTTATATAACTTGACTATTACACATAAAACACCATTTAATCTCATAAACAGATACAAACGTTACCAGGATATCATAATAACAAGGAATAATGTTGAAGACACTTCGAGCTCTTGAAAATCCTGACCATCCGTTACTCGGGCCGACACTTAAGGGGCTTAAGTTATGGGGTCTATGGATGGGGGCTGGATGGAATCCTGTTATATATAATACGATTCATGCTTGGGCTGTATTTTTTGTAATAAGCCAATATATTGAATTGTGGTATCAAAGATCAGATCTGCCGTCAGCTCTTCGAAATCTCTCTGTTTCAATGCTAAGTACAGTTTGCATAGTAAAATCTATAACATTCGTATATTGGCAAAACGAATGGAGAGAAGTTTTGAATTTTGTATCACGCTTAGAAAGATATCAGCTTTCAAAGAACGATAAAACAACGAATTGTATTATCAAGAAGTATACTGATTATTCTAGAAGAATTACATACGTCTATTGGTCTTTAGTAACTGCAACAGTTTTAACGTTGATCCTAGCACCGTTGGTTGACTTTTTGTGCTCACCCGAAGATAGGCTGATAATTAAAAACGGTACAAAGCCATATCCAGAAATAATGAGTTCGTGGGCGCCGTTTGATAGAACAAGAGGTTTTGGGTACTGGACTGTAACTATTGAACAATCATTGATATGCTTTTATGGAGGTGGTATTGTAGCGAATTATGATACTAATGCGTTTGTTTTGATGTCTTTTATTGCTGGGCAAATGAAGATTGTAAGAAAAAATTGTGAACGGTTGTTTGAGGGGAAAGATGCTAGATATGATGTAATTTTAAAAAGAATTACATATTGTCACTATCATCATCTTTCTTTGGTCAAGTAATTTTTTTCTTTTTTTTTATTGCTTATATTACTGATTATATTGAGCATTTCGTTGTTTTGGAATATCACGAAATTTGTATTCATGGTAACGCTTACGTGTTGCAAGTTTCTGTTTGTTTTTCTCTTTTAGGGTTCAGTACCTCCAATGGAAAAAATGGAACCCTTATAAAATCACTTCATTGTCCATCTGTCCGTCCGTCTATCAAGATCCTTTTTATTAGGAACGCTTGGAGGTATCAAATTGAAATTAATATCGTATACTCAGATCTACTTATCTCTTAAAGCATTGAAAAAATTAAGCTTCTAAATCGTTGGAATCAAAAGATATGGCTGTTTATATTCCATTTATATCGCATATTTTGACATTCCCAAAACCAATCAAAATTTATAGGATACTTTCCGTTGACTTAAAATTATAAAATTTGGCAAGAAGTAATGTTATGTAGCATAAGTAATGGAAAAAATCCGAAAACCGTAAATTTGGAGTTATTTCACAAAAAAAATCAAACTTGATTTTGTAACCTCGTTACGCGAGTCCGACTCGCACTTGACCGGTTTTTATTTTCTATTGAATTAGGTATTATTTTGCGGAACTCCACGTCACTGGCAGGAATTATTTTGTTTAAGTCCAAAAAACAAAAATAAATTATTCAAATCACGCAGCCAATTTCCACTTATTTTTCGAACGAAGCGCTCCTATATTATGACCAAACTTCATTTACACATAAGTTTGTTTGATCACTACTAGTGATTTACTAATTACTAACTTAGATTTATTTATGCAACATAGAATGGTAAACAAGCTGACGGCCCACCTGATGGAAAGTAGTAGACGGCGACTATAAACATGAACAGTACCATAGACACAACAGAATATACTATTTTGCCCATGAAACCCTTATGCATTGCCATTCTTGAAGCCTAAGGTGTTATACCTCTGTACCCTCTAAATTCACTGCCATATCCTACCCTTCAAACCGAAACACAGCTATTTAAACACAACTGCTTCACGGTAGCAACGCGAATGGAACAGAGGTACCCAAGCAAACGACTTTTGTATAAATCTCCCTCCGATGATTTAGTAACTACTACTAATTATACTAATTACTTTAATTAGATACTAAATATAATAAGTAGATCATTAAGAGTGAAAAACCTATGAAAAAAATACCACACAAGTATTTAAAGTACGTGATATTTTTTCTTACATTTTTCCTACTATTTTCAGATTTGCCAAATTGTTTAATAGTTTATTGTCACCAGTGATGTTCTTGTACGTCATTATATGTTCCCTGATGATCTGCGCCAGTGCAATCCAATTAACTACGGTATTAATACATATTTTATATTCAACACTTTAGTTGAAATATCTATATTTCGCCAGTATGTATGAGATGAGGTATTTGAAGGAGGATTGAGATGCGTGTAAAAATGAAGGCTGTAGGTACTCTGTTCAACTATATGAGAAACTTGGCGAGAAGATGTAGATATTTCTCGTTAACATTCTTATAGATATTTGTAATATATTGCTGTGTGATCCCAGGATAGAATAGGCCACCCCTTCCTTTCCAGTGGGTGTCGTAAGAGGCGACTAAGGGAATTGAATGATCGAGGGATGGGCGGCAGCGTCCCTCTTAAAATATTACCAAAATCCTAACTGCGGTTGCCAACCTGCCTGCTAAACATGACAACCCTTCTTATAGAGGAGCCTTATGTTCAGCATTGGGCAGTTATCGGCTGGTATGATGAAAATGATGATGATGATGTAATATATATTTTTGATGGCTTAATGTACTGTCCAACGGTCGTGGGTTTGACCACCGACCAATATATTTGTATTCATGAGTGTGTTTTTATTGGTTTAGACGTGGTGTTTTTATATATATTCAAAGAAATAGTAATTATAATGTACCTAATATTAAAATTTTAGAAAAGCACTACTAGTATGCAGAAGATATGGATCGCTGAATATCTACTGTCACTTATATCGCAACTGTTTTTGTATTGCTGGCATAGTAATGAAGTCTTCGTTACAGTAAGTACAGACAAACAATGCTTATAACAAAAAGTTGAAGAATAAAATATTTAAAATGTTTTAGAAAAGATTTTTTTTTCTTTTTAGAAAGTCTAATTGTCTTTTACAATATACTCATATTTTTTAAGAGGTTGCCAGTATTTCATTTCCTCATTTCATTTTATACTTATTTGCTGACCCTATATTAATTGTGTCACGTTAGAAGCAAAACTTGTTGATAATACAAATTCAAATATATCAATTCTGATATATCTATAAAACATCGTATAATTTATTCATATGTTTGTAATTTTTGGAGTTTATTGTTTTGTACAGTATAAAAAGATATTTTTGTGTCATTTTTAGGGTTCCGTACCTCCGATGAAAAAAACGGATCTCTTATAGGATCACTTCGTTGTCCATCTGTCAAGACCCTTTTTCTTAGGAATGCGTGGAAGTATCAAGTTGAAATTAATATCATATACTCAGGTCTGCAATCTCATCTATCAAACAAAAGATTTTTATGTTCCGTTTATATCGCTGTTTTGACATTCGCAAAGGGAATCAAAACCTATAGTGTACTTCCCGTTCATTAAGAATCATGAAACTTAGCAAAAACTAACACAGCACAAGTAAAGGAAATCTACGAAATTCGTAAATTTATAATTATATCACAAAAAAAAATTAAACTTGATGATTTTGTACGGAACCCTCGTTGCGCGAGTCCGACTCGCACTTAACTGGCTTTTTTCTTTTTACCAGAGCAACGAAGTCGACCGTGGGTTATACAAGAGCGATTGGTGGTCGAGCAACACACGTGTACGCCGCAGTCTACTTCTACTTGGAGGGCAGCTCCAGAAGAGGGTAGTCTTTACAGCTGGACCATTCACTACTCTCAGCTTACCAACATTTATCACTGTAGGTACAGTAAGTGTAGTTACTAATATAATTTATAAATTTGCTCCACAGAAAACGCCAATTTTAATAGTGGCAAAACTTTTGATTTAAACGCTAAATTACTGAATCGATTTTTGATGAAATGTCTATGGGTCTAATCTAGAAGTATATCCTCTGAGATAAAAAAGAAAATTCCGAATTCGATCGATTTATAAATGACGGAGTTATGACGTAACAAACAATAAAACATACCACCGATTTGTGACCTTACTCATTTTTCACAACTTAAAATCATAGCCATAAGAAGTTTTCCGTATACTTCGCCGTATACTGTGCTAATATTACACTTGTAAAACATTGTTTTGTTTGTTTCCAATGGCGCTTTATCGACTTAATCAATGATCACGTTAATGATGTGGCAATTGGGATGGTGAAGAATATTTGCTTTTCATCCCCCGTTCTCTCATCTTCCATCGTTCTTGTTACAAAGTCACCGGTGAAAATCAGTATGCAATAAAAGTTATAGAACCGAAACAGGATCCTACACGATTGCCCGTATGCAAAAGCTTCAAGTTACGTGTCTTTACGTGATAGAATCTCTTTACGAAACAAAAATATCTGCAAAAGAACCAAAGTAACAGACATAGCCCGAAAGATAAGCAAACTGAAATGACAAAGGGCTGGTCACATACCACCAAGAACCGACAACCGATGAGGAAGAAAGGTTCTTGAGTGGCGATCACGTATGTTTAAATACAATGTAGGACGACCTCCCGTTAAAAGAAGTGACGACCTGAAATATATTGCAGGGAGTCAGTGGATACAGGTGGCTTAGGACCTTATACAATAAAATTATAACTAGACGATATCTATATATGGGAGATATGTATTTAAAAAAAATAAAATGACGGGTCTTAATAATACCAATAGATCCTAAAACAATAATTGTTTGAAATTTTGTTTGCCTGTTTGTGTATTTGTGTGTTTTTGTGTGTCTGTCTATCTATTCAAGTATCACGTTATAACTACTACACTAAATTGGATGCGATTTTCACAATGAAGGTCTAACTTAGAATCTAATGAATGTTTCATTTTGGTACGTTATCCAGAATTATTATTTGTTACTTCGTCGTCTGAAATTCACGGCGAATAAAAAGCAATAAGCAATAATAATAGGCGACAGCTTATAAATTTATATAATAATTAATTAAATAATATGCTTAAACTATAATACTTAATGGGTAGTAATAGCTACGGTAATAGTTAACAAGTGCACAGTAAATTATATATCATTATATATATTAAAAAATCTTATATACATACATATATGAGCAACTGTTTGCTAATTATTATATTTTCTACCTGTCGAAATTCAAATGTTATGTCCAAATATTAATCATACTGTGTACACATATTTTTTAATTGTAACCTAGTATATAAACCATAATTACCTATATATAAACCTAATATGGTTATAATTTTTCGTTGTTATGTATGCCTCATTAAAATAAAATAAATACTTTCACCACTAAGTGAATGTAACATTTCACCGAGGATATTAGAATCCAACGTGACAGAGGGTCTCTGCCTTTGTCACCCGGATTAATTTATATAATTCTTTTATTTTCAGATATTAAAAGGATCATACAGTTATTACGCCATTTTAAGTGAGAAAGCAGATTAAGTTCTATAGACTACTTGGAGCCAATATATGTATTATAGATTCACTTAAGAATTATGATAGAATTAATTATTGTACAAGCAAGCACTTTGTTTTTGTTTTTTATACAACTTAGAATGCAAACAAGCTGACGGCCCACCTGATGGAAAGTGGTAACCGTCGCCTATAGACATGAGCAGTACCATGGACGTAACATAGTTTTTTTTTTTTTATACCACTGAGGTGGCAAACAAGCATACGGCCCACCTGATGGTAAGCGGTTACCGTAGCCTATGTACGCCTGCAATACCAGAGGTATTACGCGCGCGTTGCCGACCCTGAAGAAACCTCTTTACCCCCCTTTTGAAGAACCCCAATAGTATACTGTTTCGCCCATGATACCCCCCATGTGTTGCCATTCCTGAGGACTCAGGTGTTATTCCTCTGTACCCAGTAAATTCACGCCATATACCACCCTTCAAACCAAAACACAGCCATGCAAACACAATTGCTTCACTGTTGAAACACGAATGAGACAGAGGTATCCAAGCAATCGACTTTTGTACAAAGTCTCCCTCTGGTAACACAGCACAAGCACATTTTAAAATATTAAACAATTATAATTAAATATTAAACTTGTTATTACTTAACTTATTTTGCATTAATAATTATTTTATTATACTTATTTTTGAATAAACTTGTTTTTTTTTTTGTCGAATGAAGGTTATCATATCAGCCGTTAACTGACAGCCTACTCTGAAATATTTTCCGAAAATTCGGGATCGAACGAAATACAAATTTGATGCTAAAATAATGTATACCGTTTAAAAATATTAAAAATTTTAAAATATCGTTCCTTTGGAATTTTATGGTAGAGTTTATGACGAACGAAATATTGCGCTCCATTTACTGAACCGATTTCGATATCAACAGAAACGCAAAATTGAGTCCGAAAATTCGGAATTTCATTATAAGACCCTCTATTCGCTACTGAACTCAGACCTCCCCCATAAGGGCTTTGTAATGTAAGAAGGGAATGAAGTACTTCAAAAGGTAATGAAATAAGCTTATATGTGCATTTACACAATTGTCTAATTCTCCTTTTGTCGTCTAAAATTATCCACTAAAACAACTTTTCCACGAAATTGAACTTTTACTTAAATTGCCTTGGTACTTTTATACTTCTGAAGGTAACTCGATTCATTTCCACCGTCTTTGAAGTTATTATACGATTTTAGGTTTATATTGGCGGAAAATATTATTTATTACCTGAAAATTAAAGGAATAGCTTATAAAAGTTATATTCAACTAAAATTGGAGCTATTTTTACTAGTTGGCAGCACCAAATAATCGATAGTTATACATCAAAATAATCGTAGAGTTGGTCGATAGAATCGATTTTTTACTGATAGTTAAAAGAAGTTACGTAATTTAATTCGTTATTAGGTAATAATTTACTATAATTGATCGCAATGTGAAATACTATCAATGATATTGATTATAATAATATTGGCCGTGTAGTCCCGGCATAGAATATACTACCCCTTAATTTCCCGTTGGTGTTGTAAGAGCCAACTAAGGAAACTTAATAACATTACAATCGATTATATCGAATTATCAATTACAAAATCGATTGTTATATTATTGATGCCCCTATAAGAAATACTGATTAATGATTGATACCGAATAATTATTTAACGATTATCAGGCAACACAATTATCAACTCTTTTTGTAAATAGAGTATCTTGAAATTGCATTTAAATACTCTATTTACGAAACACAAATAAATTGCTATTTTAGCAATTAAATGAAGGATAAGAAAAGCACTTAAATAAATGAAAACTCATTAAAATATTGTCTTAAGAAATATACGTTCTATGATAAAGGATATTTTGAGAGAGAATTAATAGTATAAAATGCTTTTAAACTAAACGATACTCGTCCGTTAATGAGCGGTTTTCGCTTTATTATTTAATGATTCCTATTATACAGGTAAGGTTATCTGTAGATAAACTTGAAGATCTAGAAAATACCTAAAGTAATGAAGCCAATATTTTAACCAGAAAGCATGCAGGGTTAATTAAAAAAAAGTCCCCTGGTAGTTCGATCTAAAGTTTATGATTAGTTTTAATTCTATTCATAATTAATTGTAATTAGCGTGAAATTATATAATTAGTTGATAAATTCAAGTTCAAATCCTATCAATTTGAACTAAAATTTTATTTTATTTTACTATCACCTTCATTGTCTAATATTTATTTATTTATACTTGTATACACAATAACGACTTACAGAGCGAATTTAATGCCTGATGACATTCTCCATGAGTCAACCGTTACGCTAAACAGAGTGAGTAAATGGCGGTGCATTAGTCTAACAAAATCAATTTGTAAATAAAATAAATATTTTGATAAATAACAATACTTATACATTTTTATATAAATGAATATACATACATATAGAATAATATTACAAAAATTATACATACATAAATCACATACAATATAATACATAAAAATATAACAAATATAAAGTAATAGCTAATCATATAATAGTCACTGTTTGACATTAATTACGCATTAATTCTTATAAAACTTTATCTAAGCTGCTCTATTTGTTTAACCGTGAAATAACCAAGGATTGTTTTTTTTAAACAAGCTTAGGACATATCCAAAGTCTGTACACACTCCGTAAGTAAGATTTGTATTTACATAGGTCTGTGATAGTCTTTATTTATTAAGCTCATTCACTGAGTCAGCTGGCACATTTCACTATTTCTTATATCAACGAAGTTATATAGTTTATTACTGGAATCTGGATTACCAGACTACAACAAATTGTCTAATATTAACAATTAGGCATCTATTTTAGCTTTAAACTCGATTTTGTACAAAAGTCGTTTGCTTGGGTACCTCTATACTATTCCTGTTTCAACCGTGCAACAGTTGTGTTTGCAAGGCTGTGTTTCAGTTTGAAGGGTGGGATATGGCAATGAATTTATAGGCTACAAAGGAATAACACCTGAGTCCTCAGGAATGGCAACGCATGGAGGGTATCATGGGCGAAACAGTATATTCTGTTATTCCTATGGTACTGCTCGTGTCTATAAACGACGGTTACCACTTTCCATCAGGTGGGCTGTCAGCATGTTGCCATCCTGAGTTGCATAAAAAAAAATGTTATATTAAATTACCAATAAACCACATTGCCGTGAGGTTTCGGCATAGAATAGGCCACCCCACCCTTTCCCGTAGGTGTCATAAGAAGAGGGTTGTCGAGGGATGAGCAGCAATCCCCCTTTCAAAACATCTTTAATGTCTAACTGCGGTTGCCAACTCGTGGCAAGTACTGGTAAAACCCCCAATATAGGGAGGCCAATGTTCTGTAAAGAACAATTAACGGCTAATCTGGTATGGTATGGTAAGCTACATCTTGGGCATTATTTTATATGACCACACGATTCTGAGCAAACACAGCGAAAACAGTTTATGAATACGATCAATTGAAAGTACAAAAAGCCTAATGCCAATCCGCCTGCCAAGCATAGCAACTACTGGCAAAACCCTCTTTATGCTTATATTTATGGACGCTTATGTTCAGTAGTGGACAATTAAAAGCTATGATGATAATAATATTCAAATAAAAGAGAAGTATTAATTTGTGTTGGACAATTCTAATCCTTATAGTATAGGCTATACTTATTTAAGAACTATAAGGTTGTATAAAATGTCCATTGACATTTGCCAATCAATTGATAAGTATTAATTTTTTCACTGTTATATTAAATCATAAAAAAGGATATTATGGTATTTTAGGAACCGCCGGCATCTAGATTAATTCGGTTTGATCTGATTCAGTGACCACAATTACGCGTGCCTATTCATAAGCAGGACGTGACCTTACTCCGAAATTCGTCATTGGAAATTTCAAATTAAATTATTAACATAAAATAATAAATTACAATTTCATTTTGAAATTATTCAGAAATAATTTTAATAATTGATTATGACGAAACAATCGAAATAGCAATAACTGATTATTGCTAAATTTTAAAATGTGTATTGCAGACTTTTCATTCCAAGAATGGAAATTTCTCAAATCTATTGAAGATAAATTTAATTATATGATTTAATTTGATTTTCTCTTTACCACTAATATCTTATTATGAGCTATTCATTTTCCACTTACTACCCTTTTTTCTTTTTTCTTCGATCTCGAATTAGAACTTCTATTAGTACAGTGACTGAACGGTGAACGAACTGAGCAGCAGGTCGTTTACATCTGTAGAAAAATGGAAAGATCATACAACAATAAATAATATTATCTATTGGTCTTATATAAATCTTCGTTGCGAACACTACAATATATCATCGTGTACTACTTCTATAGGATTTATTTCAGTATTTATATGACCTGACCTGCTTCACAGTATCAAGTGTATTTTTTGTGGATAAAAATAGAACGGTAAACCCACCTGCACTATTTGTTTACACTGTCGGCGGACATGTGAGTTAGTGAGGATAGATAGTGGGGATGACAGGTCAGAATGAAGTCAGGTCAGTTGGACCGATATGATTTTAAAAACAAGGAATTGAAAAAATATATATTAACTCTGTTTCAATTCAGATTCAAATATTTTTTTTTCAAACAGAGTTGTTTACAATCGTATATTTTTTATAATTTTCTCTAAATTTACTTTTCCAAATTCACAACTTTCCAATGATTAAATACACCGTTAATAAAATAATTAATGTATAATTTATATGTATCTTTTACTCCACTCAGAAATACAGATGATTCGTGGACAGATGGGGTTTGTTAAAATTTAGATTGCAATATGCCTAGTACTATGATTTAAAAATTTTCCTTTATTTTTAAAAAACCATGTATCGATTGTGTTTTGTTTTGTTTCGATAACGATTGCGAGTTTCGAACTGCATATATACTTGTTGTGAATAATTTTATCTTATTGTTTTTGTTGTTTCTATGAAGTATGTATGTACAATGTATTCAAATATTTAATCTCATATAGAGAGATTTTAGTACGTATTTTA